CTCCCTGTAGCCCCAGCTGTCCTGGAACTCACTATATAGACCAGGCTGGCCTTGAACTCACAGAGATCCGCCTGCCTCTGCCTCCAGAGTGCTGGGATTAAAGGTGTGCGCCACCATGCCCGGCCTCAAGGTGTTCTTTTAAATTTTTAGTTCACTATTATTTATTTATTTTTAGGAATAGGGATCATGCATGTGTTATCTCTTGCCATAAGAATGTTGTATAACAAATTCTAGAACTTTAGTGGCACACAGTAGCTGTTTATGTCACAGGTCTAGAGTACACTGGATGTGAATCTACTGATCTTGTTTTAGGAGTGACTAGCTATCATCCAGTGTATGCTGGTCTCAGCTGGAGCAAATAGGGCCTACCCCACAGTTCTCATCCTTCTGCAGACTAGCCCAGGCATGCCTTTCCCCTGGTGATGGCTGAGGTCCAAGAGAGAGCAGTTGGACCCATGCAAAGCCTCTCCAGGCCAGGCTCCAAATAGGTATACTCTTCTCTCTGCCTCATCTTATTGGCCACTATATTCCAGGTCCCAGTTCAAAGGGATGGGGAGATAGACTCCTCTTCTTTGGGGAGAAAAACTATAAAATTTCAGAATGTAGAGGTCATTAATGTGATCTGTTTACCATAGAGTTGTGGGATCTGTAGATTAGCAAGAGTTTATCTGTTTTAAGGAAAGTTTGTATCAGCAGACTAGCCCAGGCATGCCTTTCCCATGGTGATGACTGGATTTTTTTCTGCATTGGTATGAGTTAGCTTGGTTGCCACTAAATAGTTCCTCTCCTTGCCCATCTTTTCCATCATGGGTCCTACTGCTAGTTAGACTATCAGTAGTCAAGAGAAGAAGAATGAGGAGAGGGGGCTGTTGCCATCCTGCAGAGGGCCATCTATCTAGGAGAAAAGTTATGTTGTATGTGTTGAATACAAGTGTTTGTTAGAGGAAGAAGCAATCTCTGGCCAGAGTCTTTAACCTTTGCCCTAGTTTCTCATGCTCTACAATAGGGCAGGGAAAGAGGCCACATGCCAGCAGCAGTCACTACAGGACCTGGAAGTGTAATAAGACACATACTGGGGTGCCCCAAGTGTAATAAGAAGACACATACTGGCTGGGGTGCCCCATACTGTGGGCTGATGGCCTCTGGGAGACTCTCATATATGTAATGACCCCAGAGATTAGCAGCATAGCCCCCTCCACCTCCATCAGCTCACAACATGTGAACTGTGCTATATGTGTAGCATGACCTGACCTTCCACTGCCAGTAATACACATGGAGACTTTCCAGGGTCAGGAAGGAGGCTGGGGTGTCCTCTTCCCAACTGACAATTACAGCTAAAAAGTTCCATGACCTTGCATTTTCTTTCATAAAGGTTAAGTCACTCAGGATGACAGGGCTCCATGCGTAAACCCACCTTGGGTCTTTACTAGACACATCTCATGATTGAAATAAGCTTCTCTCACAAACAGACCAGGTATGGGACAAAACCACCTGAGATTCAGACATCTCCTGTCCTTCTTTCCTCTTCTCTCTCCCTCAGGGTATTCATAAGACTATTAGGCCTGTAGGTACCCACCTCTGGTACAAGGGAATCTGTAAAGTGGCAAAGAGGTTGTTGATACAAGGTTAAAGCCAGTGTCTCGTAAGGTGCAGGCTATATCCCTCCAGGAGTATTTTACATAGTTAATGGTATCTTCTTTCCAAGGTCAGAAAAATGACTGCACCCCCTACATCTACCAGATCCCCACTCCCAACGTTTGTGGTGTTCTGTGACTGCACCACCAACTCCTCCAACCCCAGTTTCAGGTGTGTGCATGCGCACAGGAGCCCCTGGGACACGGAGACAGAGAGAGGCCGAGCTTGCTACCAGTTACCTCAGCTGTGCCCCTCATTTCTCCTTGACGGAGACTCACACAAGCCTCTTCTGTTTGATTTGCCTAGAACCGTGAGAAACAGGCCCGTATGTGAGGCTGCAGTTTTCATTCTATTCAGCCTTTGTGCATTCAAATTCTCCTAGTTTCAGCCGTTGCTGTTCTGCCAGATTTCCGTTGCACTGATGGCTTCTATGAATTAATAAGTGTTTGCAACCTCTGAAAAGTTTTCTTCCCCACCCAGCCCCCCCGCCCCCCAGCACAGGGGACTTATCCATATTGATTTTTTTTTAGGCTTCCTCTTTCGTCTCCAGCTACTTCTTAGATGTTGTATTTTGTAAAGTGTTAATAGAATTTTTCTTGCACCCTGACACTTTATCTATTCAGGAGGTCTTTACAAGTCCCATTGTACAACTGGACTGCAGAGGAAAGAGCTCTGTTCTTTACAACAATGCTTGCCCCCAAAACGCACACAGATCCTCCCCCACGCTCACCAGGGTGGAGACTGGAGGCTACAGAAGAAAGCCCCACAACTTAGCAAGGAGACCCAGGGAGCCAATTACACACTGCTGAAAGAGGGTTTTGGGGAAAAAAAAATTTTTTTTAATTCAAAATATTTATTTCCTATGGGGATCTGAGTTTCAGTACCAAAACATGGCCAACACAAAAGGGAGGCTGTTTTCTTTACTGTTAGGCATTTTCACTTCCAAATCAGAGTTTGACAAACATCTCAGAAAATGTGGAGATGGGTTCAGAGAAGCAGATGTCACATTTACCTGCACCCCCAGCAGGCCTTTCTCCCACCCATGCTCACACCCCCGGCATCTGAATTCTTACCGAGTCCCAGGGTCTGAGTCTAAGATGCCATATGCTGGGGTGTGACTACTCTGGGTACAAACACACCAGTTGATCTTATGGTGGTTTTGCTTGAGTGGTGCATGGGAGGTGTGTTTGGCCTCAGCAGGTTCCTGGGGGCAAGGGGGGACTCTTGAAGCCCACCAGGCATGGGGACCAGGAGGAGCCTTGAGGAAGAAGCCCTGTTCAAGTGATCTCCAAACTAGCATTATTGCTCTTGCCAGCTGGTACCTGGGAGAGAGGGGGCAGCCCCCTGCTTGAAGAGTCACCAGGCAAGGCCACTCTCCCCCCAGCAACTGACTGCAGTGGGGGCACCAGAAGGGGAATGTCCCAGGAGCCTGTTTGTTCAGCCTCGGTTGCTTAGCAACAAAGGGGGCTCTGGCTCCAGAATGGATTTTTAGGCTGATCGGGTGGGTCCCTTCTAGACTGATTTGTCTACCTCTCCAATCTTGCCTGGACTTTGTCCTTCACACTATTGTACATGATCACAGCTAGAAAAATAGACTGGATTTGTCCAGAGGCACCATTTCAAGCCATTCCACTGCTTTGCCCTATGTCCGCTCCTCAGTTGGAGCTTGCTTTCTGGGAGGAGTGAGGAATGAATAACCTGGGATTCCTCTTCTCCACTGACTTAGCCCAGCAACCTCCTAGGCTCACTTGTGAGCCTTTGAGCACAAATCAAGTGCTCATCCTCCCAAGCCATATATACATACCCAAAGTGCTCTGAGGGCATAGCCCTCTGGCTAACAGTTTGTGTAACCACACAGGTTGGGTTGTATTTCTGCTGCCAGTGTCAGAACAGGTGGTTCACCTGGGCAGACCAGGTTTTCTCTGTAGTGAATAGCTGCTTAGGGCAAACAGCTGCAGAAAATTGTGCTTTGTGGACTAAAGGATTGAATCTCCAAGTACGAAGAATGGATTCTGACGCCCAACCTGGTTCTTGAGATCTGTGTGGGAATAGAGTATGGATCGTGAAATCTTATTGCTAGATATGTCGAAGAGCGGCAGGAGGCGGGGGAAGAGACAGAAGCTGTCTTGGAAACTTCTCTGATGAGTTTAAAAGGTATCCGTGTACCAGTGTGCCAAGGCTGCTATAACAAAGCACCACAGGCAGGAGAGTTTCAACACCAGAAATCTGTTTTTCTTGTGTTTGTTTATTCTGGAAGCTAGAAGTCTAAGATTGAGGTGAGGCAGAGTTGGTTTCTTCTGAGGTCTGTGGTCTCTCCACCCTGTGTGTGTTTATGTCCAGATCTCCTCTTATGAGGACAACACTCTTATTATAGGATTAGGGACCATCTTAATGATCTCATGTTAATTACTGCCCAAGATCTAGTCTTGGACTAGATGATGGCTCAGTGCTTAAGAGCACATATTATTGCAGAGGACCAGAGTTCAGTTCCTTGCACCCATGTCAGGTGGCTCACAACTGTTCTTAACCACTGCACCATTTCTCCAGCCCCTGAATTTGTTTGTTTTTATACAAACACTAAAGAAAAATACACCATATGTTAACTAAGGTTTATGTCAAGTAGAGTTGTTGGTTTTTTTCCTTTTTTATATTTGCAAGACTCCTTTTAAAAATATTTTTATTTTATGTGTATGTTGTATTGCCTGCATGTGTATAAGTGCACCCAGGTCATGCAGTGCCCATGGAGGTCAGAAGAGGGCATCGGGTCCCCTGGAACTGGAGTTATAGACAGTTGTTAGGGGACATGTGGGTGCTGGGATTCAAACCTGGGTCCTGTGCAAGAGCAGTCACTCTCAACTGCTGAGCCATCTCTCCAGCCCCACAGTCTACATTTGTAATGTTTTGTGTGTTTTATGAAAATTTCTAAAGCAGCCTCTATTCTGTTTGTTTTCAGGTGGAAGATGCGATGCTGATGTTTGATAAAACCACCAACAGGCACAGAGGTAAGATGGCCCCAGCATAAGAAAATCACCTCTTATTCCCTGTTGGCCTCCGTCACTTTTCACCTCCGATCCCATTGACAAAACATACAGAGAAGATGCAGAATCCAGCAGGTGGAAATAGCCATCTTTCGAAATCAGATCCCCAGTTGTGCAAACTGCCTTTCCGTTTTGGCTTTGGAGCACCAGCTGACTTGCACAGCCACGCCCGGCATACTCACTCAGATATACCTTTCTGACCTTGGCTTTCTTAGTCCCTTGCCAACCTCAGCACTCAGTGATCCTAGTGAAAATTACTCATAGTAATATTCAGTTCAGTTTTCAATTTTCTTTGAAGGTAGTGGGGTTTAGAAGCAGACTGTCAGCCTAAGGAATGAGCTAGAGAGGAAAGACCCTGTCTCGGGTCTGTTCACTGAGTACGATTACAGACTTTGAAATGCCCTGTGGTACCTCGGGATGCTTCAGGGACATCTGTATTTATTTTTATTCTCTCCTGTGCTCCTCCTTTCCAACCCATGTTACAGAAAATGGGTCTAAACCTGGGGTCCACAAACTTGGAAATGATTTGTACAGTAGTGTCTGAGCTTTGCTTTCAAGCTGATTCCTGTGTTGAACAGATTGTCATAGAGCTCTCGGACCATCACCTGCAACAGAATACGTTAAAATTTTTGCTTTGAATAGGAGAACGGAGGAATCGAGAAATCCTCCTTGAGGTTATGACTTAGCGCTCCATTCCCCTGTTCTCTGGAAGTGCCAGGTTTCCGGGGTTCCTATTAACAGGGTGTTAATGAGCAGCACTTCCGAGGAGGGGTGGCAGGAAAGGGTGCGGGTATTCTCCAGGGAGGGAGCCCTGAGTGAGCCCAGTGAGCTGTTTCCTTGCCACTTGGATTGCATTTAGATGTTTCTCCTGTTGTTTACATTCCTGCTGTCACCTGTGATTAGAAGCAGTTACCCAGCACTGACTGTACCTCTTTCCTGTTTGGAGAAGGCAGCTCAGTGAAGAGGAGGGAATGAACGGGGGAGGTGTCGGTTGACAGGGTTGGCAAAAGACGAGTATTCCTGGTAATCCAGCTTTCTACAGCGTCCTCAAAATGGGAATGTAAAGTTGGATGGACTAGGGTAGCATCGACTTTTGGAGGGAAGATGTGGATGGGGTAGAGGATGAGTAGGAGAAAAGCAAGAGAAAAGAATGCAGTGCTGTCCCCTCCCCAGTACCCTGGAGAGAGAGTGGGGAAGAAAGTTCACGCATGATGTACAATTTGAGATTATTTTCTGTTATTGTCTATATAGTCTGTGTGGTGTTACAGATTCCCAAGTTCTGAGGCAGGCATGGTGGTGCAGGCCTGTGGTCTCCTCTACTCAGCATGCTGAGATGAAAGGATTGTTTGAGCCCATGAGTTTGAGGTTAGCCTGGGTAACAAAAAGAAACATTGTGTTTTTATAAAAAGGGGGAGAGTAGAGAGGCTTGAGAGATGTAGCAGTGTTGAAGAGTACTTGCTGCTATTTCAGAGGGACCTGAGTTCGGTTCCTAACCCCTACCACAGGCAACGCACAACTTCCTGTAACTCCAGCTCCAGGAGAGGTACTGAGGTCCTCTTCTGACCTCCACAGGCACCTAACTACATGCACATGCTTATACACATAAATAAAAACATGAAGCATGAAAGTATGACTTCCTTGTGCCACTTCTAATTTGACCTTCATAAGCTGCCTCCCCTCTCCTCATGGTCCCCAGTGTACTTTGGGCAGATGGAAGCTTTTGCCCATACACATTTTCCAGCCCCTCAGAACAGCCCAGGAGGAGTTCCTCTTGGGCTGAGTGCTGACACCTTGGTAGTGCATGAACTTAGAACATTTAGGGAAGGGAGAACATTTTTTATTTTTTATTTTTTTATTTTATGTATATTTGTGTATTGCCTGCACGTAGGTAATAAGTGCACCCATGTCATGCAGTGCTCTCAGAGGTCAGAAGAGGCTGTCGGATCCCCTGGGACTGGAGTTATGGACAGTTGTTAGCCTCAGCACCCTGCCTCTCTTATCTCTTGAGGGGAAAGGGCTGTGGTGGAAAAGGCTGAGGGACTCCTCCCTCCCCACACTACTTCAGGCTCTCATCTTTAAGAGACTGTACCTGGCCACGTGTTGTCACAGCAGAGTTGGGCAGTCCCTCAAGCCCCTCACCTAGCTCTGTTGGGCAGCCTGGGCTGTGCTTGATCCTCAGCCCCAAGTGTGTGGGCCTCTACTGTTGTGCTCTGGAGCCATGACAGTTGCTACTTGGGGAAGCCTGAGAGGACAAACTTGGCCTTCTGAGGCCCATGGGCCAGGCTCAGGGCCACTCACGTAACACAGAAGTCAAGGTGGTTTTCACTCTTGCCTCTGTCCCCCACCCCACCCCACCTCCGGTAACCCTCACCTGTCCCTGCTCCCTGTAGTCTCTGTAGGGGAAAAGATGGCCCCAAGGTATATCTACATGGCAGTGGGCTTCTCTTGCCCACAGAAGCACGAGCCTGCCCTGACCAGCACCATGGGAGAGAATCCAGGGGATGGAGGTTTAGGCTCTGTCTCCCAGTGAGCAGAGCCATGCATTGTAGGATCCCATCTCCTACCTAGATAGAGAATGGTCATCCTTTCTTCAGCTGCTCCCTAGGGAGTATCTGGGATTATCTTTCCACCACAACAAGCATTTGAGCATCTCAGTTTCTTTCTCTAAAAATATGGGAAGTGGGATTGAGGAGCTGCAGCATCTGAATGTGTCTGGCCTTTAGTTTTTTAACCATAGGATGTCCAAGATGAATGCCTTTAATTTAAAAAACAAAATTTCCAACTAGGAGAGGAATGAGAGCAGTTGCTGTAGGTGAGGTCCCTGGAAAGCAGCTTTGTCTGCTTATTAGGAAGAGTTCTTGACTGAAGGTGGCTGGAGGGAAAAGCCAACCTATGATGACATCAGAAATGAGGAGGGCCATCCCTGACACAGGTGGAGTGAGGGATTATCTCAGTGTCCACAGGATCCATCAGTGGATACAGTCATCCAGGAAGCTGGTGTGACCTGGGCTTCCTTTTGCTAGGAAAATTTGAGAGGGCCCTACCCTGGGATATCTCAGGGTATTCCCAACAGCAGGGGAGGATAACTTCATTCCTGAAGAGTATGTGGGTATCCCCTTTCTGCAACCACCTGAACTTCTGCTGTCAGAGATTCATGGCTATCTAAACAGGCTGTTTACCATCTTGGCAAAAACAGCCAACACTTTCCAAACACTGGGCATCCCCATGCTAAGGCCAGCACAGGGGCCTGGACATGGCAGATCGCCACAAGTGAGCTGAGCTGCTCAGTCAGAGATACACGCAAGTGGCAGCAGAGCCTGAGGGACCTGCAGCTCAAACTCCTGGACACTGCAGGCCTGGTGCTGGGCACTTAGGCAGACAGGAGAATCAGTGAGGGACTGGAACCTTCCTCATGCTTTCCCCATGAGTTTTGCCCACTCCATGGAATGGAATGACTGATGGTAGCTGGGAGCCTTTCTTTGCTTTTCCCATCACATCACTTTACCCCAGTCTCTCTCCCTAAAGGGAGAGAGAATAGTGTCTGTCCAATTTTCTCAGTCATTTCATTTGCTCTCTAAAACTTGTTAGAGGTAGCCTGCAAAATATTGGGCAGATCATCAAAGAATTTAATCACTGAGGGTGAGTTTGTTGCTTTATCCTTGCAACTCATAGATACTATCTTGAACTCAGCATTAGGTATTGATCCCAGGTGGGGCTGGAAGGGGCACCTGAGAGAGAAGTGAGGTGGGAGGTGCTGTCCTTCTCATTTGCTCTTGCTGGCAGGAGGCTCAGAAGCAAGAGGAAGGGAAGAACAGCTCAGCTGTCTCTTGCTGTTTCCATAGCTCAGCGCAGTTGAGAATGTGAAGTGTGGGTATGTGGGCTGCTGAAGTAGATTGTATACTCACCTCTTTCTGAGGGAACAGGACCCCCAGCGTGAGAATCACTCCAGGGGAACCTCAGCTGACCCTCCTTATGACCTTGGGGCCCCAGGCTCCTGAACTCTGCACTGCTGGGTCCCTCCAGGGGAGAGCTGAACAGTTGGGGGCCTGGTGGGAAATGAGTGGGGTGTCTCTGAAGCTGGGAGGTTTGGCTGGAGAGGGACTAGTTTCTGGCCCTGGCCATCCCTGTGGCTGCCATTACCCAGCAGGCCTGTTTGCTGTGGAACACTGCCAGAGGCAAAGGAACAGGATACACTGAGAGCAAAATAGAGATTAGTGTGATGGATGACTTCTCCCCACAGCTAGCAGTCACTTATTAAGTGCAATGCTAATGACTTTGGAGAGAAACAGCAGCTCCAGACAGCCGTTGCCCCACCAAAAGGCTCTCCCATGACCCCAACCACACCAGGTCCTTAGAGAGCGAGGTCTTTTCCCTAGGTGGCCAGACCTTATAGCTGGAGAGACACAGGGTCGCAGATCCAGAGGCGAGGACTTACAACAGGCTTACCTTAAGGCTGCTGGCCCCAGACCTTGGCTTCTCTCACCAAACTTGCTCATTCTCCATCCCGAAAGCACTTGGCCTACGTTTAAGGCTCTAATTTGCGTAAGCAGTTTATTTATTTAAAATGGTGCCAGTAAGATGTAACTGAAGCTGTGATAGAAGATAATGCTTTTCTAAGGAGAAAAAAACAGTCCTTAATGTCTTGAATACCTGCCAGACACTCACTTTTGAAATTGACCCCTGAAGCCCAAATTGGCTCTTTTATGTATGCTATATAAAGATGATCAAGAATGGTACTATAATTATTTGTTTATTGATGCCTATTTGTCAAAAAACAGAGAGGCATGTGAAAAGAGGTTTCACAGAGACATAAATTATTTTAAAAATTTTTAGCCTAGCATGATGTGTCTATGTCTACAGTCCCCATGCTCAGGAGGCTGAAATAGGAAGATTGTGAATTCAGGGCTAGCCTGGAACACATAACATAGACCCTACCTCAAAATAAATAAAAACAAAAGCATTGC